TGACAGATAAGTGTGTAGACTGACAAGGCTAGCATTAGGAGAAAGTGAGCTGGAGAAGGTGTTTGTCTAAACAGGCCAACACTAGCTCCCTGTTTGATGTGTATATAGCTGAGTGAGAGGAACATCACCCTGCTGTCTCCTCTACATGTTTACTTCAGCATGTTACCCCATCGGGCCACCCCACATGGATCCCCACACACATTGACCCACAGCCCGGCACAGACAAACAGAGGGATAAAGAGAAGGATAGTGTGAAAGAGAGGAAAGACACACCTCATTAATCTTCCTGGCACTTTCCACTCCACGGCTGTCTGTTTTGCCAGCAAGTTTACTTTTACATGGAGGTGAAAGTGACTGATACCCAAACGGCCGCCTTAAGATGCTAAATGTTCAGCGTCACCCACAAGTAATAATTTACACAGTTTGTAATTTACACGCCATCCTATTTTCTCTTTCATGCCCTTTGCATTGCTCTTGTCTCTTAAAATGGAATCCCCAATATGTCTGGATTAATACTTTTGTCTCCTGACTGGCATGTTAAGGAGTGAGACTAGTCTATTATGACTTGCTGAAGAGAACATATCATAACTTACATGCACAGTCACTGAGTTTTCCTGATTAGTTTTATTGCTCTGACTCACTCTCACTTAGTTATTTTACTCAAGCGGACAACTTCTGTCTGCAGACACAAACCAGGCAAGGCAAAAGGACATGTCCACCTTATAAAAAGGTGACATGTCCTTTTGTTTTTGTTGGAGCAGACAAAAACAAATCTTTCAAGGAAGCAGGGGTCTCGTCGTGTGTTAAAAGAAGTGTTTGAAGATTGCAGTGATCTCCTTGTGTCTTGTCCTCACTGCAAGGTTTCGAGGCAACCGGCGGAAACTCCAGGAAGTTAATGTTCCTGGCCAAGAAATAGTCTGGCACATATCTCACCTAAAAACTGCAACTTGTCATGTTAACACTTTGTTTTTTGGACGGATTAAACAAACAAGACACAGCATGTTAATTAATACGCTTTGGAAATACAAGCAGGCGGACTTTCTAGCCTTTGGGTAGCTTTTACTTCTTCTGTCTTTGTGCTAAGCTACGCTAACCGTCTCCTGGTCCCAGATTCAAACTGAATGCACAGACATGAGAGTGATATCAATCTTCCACGTTTAATGAAAGCAAACAGGCGTAATTCCCAAAATGTCGCACTATTCCTTTAACCTTGCTTGTATGCGACTCTTACCAGCTTTAGTTTTTAACTAAGTCTTTTTTTGTTTTGTTTTTCAAGTCAAATAACAAAAGAGACAGCAACACAGACACAAACACAAACAACAGGCTTCTCCCGTAAGAACACATTTTAATTAGAATACCACCACATATAAAGGCTTATTATTCCTGACAAGCTCTCATTCTCTCACACAAACAAACACAGGGACAGCAGTAAGGCAGCCCATCCCAGGCCAGGCTCCAGTGCGGAGGGATATCAGACTTGTGAATTGTAGCGGGGAGCCTGAATGACAATGGGTCTGGCAGCCCTGGAGGAGATCGTTATGGGCAGCAGGACCAGGCAACGGCTGCCGTGTGCTGGAGTCAACAGCCCCAATCACCCACCTGGAACCTGGAGCCCAGACAGCCGGGGGGAGGTGGAGCCGATGGCCTCCGTCCCCTACAGGCTGCAGGAGACGGAGGACCCCAGCCCAGACAGCTCAACCAAGGCTCTTTTGCTTTAAGTCCCACCCTGTTGGTGACCTGCATGTGCCCCTCCCTTCTATTATATTTGCCCAAAACGAGCCTTGTTAAATTCCCCTCCAATTGCTCTCATCTACTACCAGCTCCTCCTCTTTAGGACCCTTTTGACCACACCCATCTATCCCCACCTAATACTGCCGTGCCCCAGTTTAATCACCTCTGTATGTGGGTGGAGGTAGTTTGGGGGCTTTTGGGGGTGGAGGCAGAAAACCACGCATTACATCATGTATTTACTTATCCAGGGCAGCTAGCGAGTGACACGGAGAGTGGAGCTGGGGGTGAAAGGTGAAGGACTCAGGAGTAAATGAGTCATGACCAGAACCAAAGGGTTGGATTCTGGGGACAAGGTTGCTTAAACACCAAAAGGCTCACAACACCTCCGCAAAGACACTAACATATCTGTGGTTGGAGCATAAAAGTCCTAAAACGTTTCACCTGGGGATTGTGTGATTGCTACAGACAAATTTCTAAACTAATCCTCAGAGGCTTCCCAGATGTACACGTCTTGAACATAACACCATAATGTTTCCCAGAATACAGACTAAGCACTTTGAGATTATTTGCTATTAATGAAAACAATTAGGGGCTCAGGCTTTTGGTAGCCTGCCAACTACTGTTTCAACATTTTTTCCTGCCTTGCAAGTGGAATTTGAACTCTCTAAATTGCTTCCCTTTAGTAACAATGCAGTAAACACCCTCCAATCCCCTCTCAACCATCTGCCCATGGTCAACATCACCTCAGTAACTGCTAGTGACATGTGCCGCAGATCGGCCTTGTAGTGCGTCCAACCACCCCACCTTTAGCGAGCTGGTGCAGCTCAGAGAGACCAAACAGACCCAGTGAAGTCAATCGGCAGACTGCTCCATTTACCCTAAGTGTGGGATTTCTTTATTTCAGTGGTGAGATCCTCCATCCTGAGAAAATAGGTGGCTAGGAGAGGGTGAAACAGAGGTAAAAAGAAAAAAGATAGAGGAGGTAAGGAAGAAAAAGAAGAAAATCAAGAGGAAACAGAATAAGGACAAGAACCGAGATGGGTCAGTGGACTTCCACTCATTCATCTCCCATGTCCCAGCAACCCTTGCCTGTCTGTTGGAGCGGCAATGGCCCGCGCGGAGACATCAAGCACATTCCAAGAGTCGGCCCAATTACGGGCAGATGAGGGGCAGTTCTCTTTGTTTAAGAACAAAGCCAGAAGTGACACAACTGGTCTTTAAAGGGAGCTCTCACAGCCGTGGCTGAGGAGAGGGGGGCCCAGTGGGTGGGGGAGGTGACCAGCTGGTTATAAATATCTATTTGGTCAGTTACTGGAAGGAAAATTTGCAGTTTGTTTGTCATCCACTCATCCAGGTGGTGGGCCTGGTGGTTGCAAAACATCAGAACAGAGAGAGAGAGAGAGAGAGAGAGAGAAAGAGAGAGAGAGAGAGGACAACCTGTTTGAGTTTGACTGCCAGAAATAAGGAATTTGACTAATTCCTATATGAAAGCCACATGTCATCCTCCAGTGTACACCTGCAGAGAGAGAAAGCTCTTGGCAAGATCTTATTGCATATTTAACCCAGTAATTAATTTGGCCATACAGATTAGATATTACTGCAATGTGAATTAGTCTTGCACTCATAATTACGCAACGTTAGAGCAATTTTTAATGACTATCATCTGGCAAATACCAATATTACAACGTTCATGTTGAGTTGACTGGGACTGTAGCACATTCTCCATAAGCAACTTATAACTAATCAAGAATAATGAAAGAAAATGAAGATTAACTTCTTGAAATTTCCTGGGTTTTGGCCTCAGACTGTTCTGTTCTACTATCAAAACTATGAAATGCAATTAGGAGTTTGTGTGGGCCAGGGATTGTGGAATAACTGTTGCGGTGACTCAAATTGTCCTGCTCTAAAATCCATTTTTGAGTACGAGGCACTTCTACCCCTAATGGGCTAGAAGGGTGCCTGTAAAATGCCTCTTTGTTAGCGAACAGTGGCTGTGCACAGCTTGAATTCAGTCAGTTACAATGGTTTCCAAAGGTGACAAACATCCACAGAAAAATCTCAAGCCACTTAATAAGACACATCTCACTCGTCCAAAAGCCCTGTATGCTCCAAATGATCGTCACTTTGCCAACAGAGCTACATACGCTGCTTCCACATTGTACTATTGCCCTAAACAAATCCAAAGCTCCTCCAGAAGCTGTCTTCTCATGAAAGAATACATTTTTACAACCACCTTCCAAGTTTACAGGGGGTGTGAATTTGATACTAAAAACACTGATTTTGGGTGGAGTAACACTTTAATAATGCACATTGTGCAAGTGGTTGTTGATGGCCAGAAGCATGGAGTATTGGACTTCAGAGGGGCGGGACGAGTTTAAAGTTTAATTCCCACTCTGCAGTAAATTAGAACACAGCAGGGTAATGTCTGTTTATCCCAAATACAGCTGCCTGGGCCTCTCTCTCTCTCTCCTATCCCTCTCCTTCTCTCCCCACAGACCACACCACGGCCCCAGGATCACCTGGACCAAGCAGTGCATACACAAATGGCACTACACAAAACACGCATTATGCAAACACATGCACTTGCATAAACAAACAAAGCAGCACATGCATTCATATGCGCACAGACACAAACACAAGCTCACACTGCACTCACACACGCAGATGTAAACACACGGGTTGTGCACTAGAACAGATACATCACAAATAGATTCAGGAGTTCAATGACACCAATGAACTTAAACTCAGAGGCAATTACTTTGTTGCTACTTGCTTCATTTTTATTACAGGGGATGATGTTATCTATCAAGTGTATCTCACTGTATAGTTGGTCATATATCAAGAATAGTTTTTTATGGAAAATAGTCTGTAAGAAGGAATTTGTATTGAGGCTGTGTGTTTTCCTATATTTAAAACTGTGTGTCCGCAGCAAAGTGAGAAACTAGTTCAACTTTGCAATAGTGTTTTTTAGAGAGTAAATTCACACTAATCCTTCCAAAAGAAGCAGGCCAGCTGAGATGTTGGGTTTTAACTTTACAATTAGTAGGTATGTGCTGCCCTCTAGTGGTAGATTGAGCTACTGCACGGTGTAAACAACGAAATAAAAGTCTGAGAACCATAAATAGGTGTTTGTCTCCATCTAGTGACCAATAAGAAGAATGCATTTTATGAACGGAGGAGGGGAGGAGGAGAAAAAAAAAAAAAAAAACATGTCGTCATGTTTGCGCAATTTGTACGTGCGCGTTCACGAGTGAATCCTGTGATCTATGCGTCAGCTGTCAAGCCGTACACACGCACACTACAGTACTGTCTCTATGCAAGATTTGTTTGGACAACGAATGAATCAGAAATTCCAGAGAGACCCGGAACACTTAAAGTATGGTGACCGCAGTGTTACTCCTATCAAGCTGGACTAAAGCGACTCGGCGACAGGAAAGTGGTTTGCCGCGGGTTTGTGTTAGTTAAAGGAGGAGAAGGAGAGAACAAAAAAAAAAAAAAAAAAAAAGAAAGAAAGGGAGAACACATTTTCCGGTTGCAGACTTTCTAATAAGCTAGCAACGGAGTTCTCCAACCGGCTTCATTAGCTTAGCTAGCTAGCAAGCGAACAAGCTGGCGTAAAGACAGCTGCGGTGCACTCGAGGAAATGTCTGCCTGGAGGTGTTTTACAGTTTTAATATGTATTTTTTATTGAGCACTCATTAGCATGAAATCGTGTGTTAGCTGTCGCGAAGTAGCGAGCGCTTTGTTCAGGTGAAGTGACGGTACCGGTACCGGGAGGGTGGTGAGGTTGGGATTGCTCAGGTAAGTTATGAGCAGTTTCAACATTACAACCAAGACCTCCACATTGAGCTCTTCTTTGAGCACCGACGGCAAAGGGTCACCGCTCAGCGTCGACGCCGCCAACAACAACAAGGAGTGGGAGCTGGGAAGCGATGTGTTTCCGTGCTGTCACGAGATGAGTCCCATGGACGATACGATGCAGGCAGGGATGTCCTCCGTCCAGTCGGGGCTGGACGGACACCTGCCGCTTCTGCACGCCAGACACCGGGACGGGTATTTGTTGGACCTGAACTCCCCGGCAGCCTACCTCGACAGCAGCTCCCTGGAGTACAGCGACAACGACGGGAACAACGCAGGTCCGTTGTTCGACAGGAGGAAGAGGTCGCGGTCCAACAGCTCCAGGCACCGCTACAACGAGGTGGTCACGGAGCTCGGTCCGGAGGAGGTGCGGTGGTTCTACAAGGAGGACAAGAAAACGTGGAAGCCCTTTGTCGGCCACGACTCGCTTAATATTGAGCTAACGTATCGGAAATACTGTGAACTGAACCCTGGTGCAGCAGGCTCCCAGGTACGCGGTGGGGAGGAAGAGTCCGGTAATAACAGTGTGGAGAGCAGAGGGCTGAACGGTGCAGTGCCGGTGGAGACCAGGACCAGCAGTGTGCATGGAGACCGGGGCTCCCTGGACACATCCACCGTGTCCTCGGATGAGAGGGACCCTGACAGCATTGAAGTCAACGTAGAGCATGTGTGTGTCCGGGGAGGGCTCTATGAGGTGGATATTAAAGAGAAGGAATGCAATCCAGTTTACTGGAAGCGTGAGTATGATTTAAAAAAAAAGATGGTTAAAGTCTGTATCATCATATGTTATGCTCTGCATCAGTCACACATTATGTAGCTCCTGGTGGCAGCTCTCAGAAGGCATCACTGAGTGCATGTCTATAGGCACACAATTCAGGAATTAGTGCCTATAGACTGCATAGCTCATGTGCTTTATATTCTGCAGTATAATGGCTGTCAGCATACAGATTAATGACCCACAGCCACTCACAAGTCTGCTTTTATTCAGCAAGCAACATCCATCCCTGCTCCCATTAAAGATACAAACTAGCAGCTGATTTAGTAGCAAATTTTAGTTACTGCATTGTTTTGCAGTTTTTTCATTGCCTCATTAATAACTTAGGCCCCTCTTTTGGGAACATCTAAACTACTCAGGAAGTCAGTCTATTGGGCTCAGCTGATCTGTGCTAACTAATTCATGAATATTTCCAGGAAAAGGCGGCGAACAAATGAAGGCGGCCACTATAGAAGCCTCGGAAAACCTGACCCCATGAAAGGGTTCATGGGTAGCTGGTTCTTTTGAAGGTTAATGCCAAGTGACATTTAGAGAAGCATTTATTTTCCTGAATGTTCATGCTTTGGATGTAAGGCCTTTGCAGTCGGCTCAGACCCTCGCTGTGCCTTCTCAGCTCGGCCTGCACCACTGTTAACATAGTGTCACGTTAACACTGAAGACTGTGATGCACCACATTTGAGATGGGAACTAATACAAGAGGAGATTATTTTAAAAGTAATCAAAAGCATATCACTCTGGGAGGCGAGAGGCCAGTTCATGTAATGAGAGACGTGAAGGGGAGGGATTGTTGATGTATTGTAATCCAAGAAGTAAAACATCCTCAGACGTACGAGAAAATGAAGGTTTTGGGAGGTGTTTTGGCACATACAGTAATAGCTTTTCTGTTCTGACATGTAAACGTAGCAAACAAGGTGCAAGGTCACTTTTCACTCATGAGAAGACTTGTCTTTACACTTATCTTCTCTGGCCAGACCTTAACAAATGAGTGAATAGTATACTATCAGTGTGTCTTTCTTGTGTGTTTATCTTAGTCATGTGTCCTCTGTAAATTATATGCTCATGTGTTATATATTTGTTGAGATGAGCAGTCCAGCTTTGTACAAAAGGGGCCTTGTGTCTCGCAAAGTATGCCTACATTTAAAACCGTATTTATATGCTTATTCACCACCAGAGAATCAGTTAATAATGTCACTGAAGACTGTAATCAAAGCTGGCCTCGCTCTATAAGCCACTGAGACTTGGCCCTCCTGGATTTGCCAGACTTGTTGAGTTCAATGGAAATTAGTTTACATAATCTAAATCTCATTCTGAAAGGCTAAATGATGCACTACTATACAGTGACTAACACTGTCACTGGGGAGGATTCCCACTGAAAGACGAACTGTGGAGTTTTCTTGCAAAACAAACAAAAGTTATAGTTATGTTCCGTGTTACTAACCAAGTTTGTATCCTTGTGCACTCTCAAATATTAGAACAAGTTTGTTTAATCCAGCATTGTTTTCAACCATGATTAGCTTGCAGTCTTGTTCTTCCCTACCTTTGTTGGTGCACTGCTGCATATCTTGGCATGTTACTGTCGACTTTATATTAAGGAAATAGTGTGAAATCACTGGCAGGAAAGTGTACCTTGACACATGAGTGCATGTGTGTCGAAAACTAACCATGCTATTTTGTACTGTCTTACAGAACAAGACCATATTCCAGTCATGAGAGGCCAGTGGTTTATTGACGGTACCTGGCTCCCGTTAGAGGAAGAGGAGAGTGACCTCATCGAGCAGGAGCACCTGAACCATTTCCGGGGGCAACAAATGCAGGACACCTTCGAGACGGATTTGGTGGTCAGGACCGTCGATAGCAAAGATGGTGAGAGAACGGGGAGGGGAAAAGTAGAAGAATAAGGATCATTTAGTATGATCTTAGGGATGTGAGGCAGAAGCTCCTACATCTAGAAAGCTACAAACTGTATCAGATTTTTGAAGAAACACATTGAAGCATCCATTCTGGCAACTAATGCTCAGATGAATAAACACTATTAATAACTTCATTATAACTAGATTTGATGGCGAATGTTAGTATGAGAGTGTGGTTTGAGGTTGAGGTTGCTGCATTCACCAACCCTGCAGTATTTTTTATCACGAGCAGGCAGTATCTTGTAAAAGAACACCTATATAGTGCTGTGTTAGAGCAGTGAGGAATTGAAATGCTCCCATAGGAGTTATTAGTAATAAATTCCATTAAAAAGGAAAGTCATGGTCTTCACAATAAAGCCAGAAGAAAAGCATTGTGAGTCATAAATGGTGAATTATGTGACAGCCCTGCCTGCTGTAGTATCGATGCACAGTCAAGAGAAATGAATGGCGCAGGTGCTTCCATTCATGTGAGTGTAGATTTTGTCATGTCGTGCTCCCAATGTAAAGCAGGTGCAGCCCGTACATTCTGGCACGTCCCTGTGGTTAGGGCTGGCTCAGGCAAAATGTAGCAGGCTTTAGCTGTGAAAGGCAATAAGAAAGAGGTCCTTTGATTCAGCAGTCTCCTTAAGGCAGCCAGATCTACAGGACCTTCAGCTGGTGATGAATGTGTGGGTGTGTGAACGTGGCAGATAAATAGAGGAAAAGCAGAGAGGAAAAAGATGCAGCAACTGTTAAAGAGAGTGAGAAAATGTTTAGTCTGCATTATAAAAACTGAGAAAATTATGTTTTAAAGAGACACAGAAACATACATCAAGACATCACCGAGGTAGTCTGGAACACTTGTGCAAAAATTTAAATCGTCTGTCAAAATCCACGAATAGCAATTAATCATCAAATTACCCTTATTTCCTGTAACACTGATTGGTTGTTGAATAATAACTGTTTAATGACTGTTAATCACAGTTAAATTGCTATTAATTGCACAAAGTTTTATTTTATTCATGCTTCCCTCGTGTCTAGCACCCTGCACTGTTGCTGACATGTCACTCCCCCCTACTCAGAATAAATCTAAGGCCTATAAATAAAGTCGCCAACAGAGCAGATGAAAGTGATTACAGTAGGTTGGTCAGTCTTGCATCGTCATGTCCTCGAAGCTACTGGCACTTTTCCTGAACTGAATCACAGACATTTTGAGACAAAACTGGGCTGTCACTCCTCGGCCCAGAAGCTTTTGTGTACATGTACACTGAAAGATCTGTACTTGGAAGCGGGCATATAAACAGTCAAAGAGGACAGAGGGATCGTAGTCAGGTTATCTGCAAGCCAGGTGTGTTAAATATAGTGCAAGGGCACACAGATTGGTTGTGTGACACTTGGAGGCCCCTCTGTTGCACAACACACAGATCATATGACCTTAGCTTGTCCAGTGAGTGAGCTGTATTACTGCAAGGATGAATAGTGCAGTATAATTAAATCACCACATCATTTAGTGTGAAATGCTTACATACCCTTACTCAATATATGTTATTAAAACCCATTGTCAGCGGTATTTATACACGTTAGTGCAATTTCCTTCATCGCATGCAAATATTATTGAGCATCTGTTTGAAACCCTCCTGCTGCTTATGTTGGCAGATTGTTTTCCTCTCCTATATTTAGCAGAGCATTAAAGCAAAGTGAACGATAGATCCTGTTAATTCGCCTTGTTTCAGTAGGTATTACAGGGAGCCTTTTCGGTAGAGTATTTTATCTTTGGAACTAATAATCTGAAGCACTTGGAGCCATAAGTCGGCTAACTTGAACTGCATTGCAATTGATAAATGGATCATAAAGCCAGCGAACTGCGCTCTGACATTACCGCAGTACATAGATTTCCCCTGCTATCTCTCCCCCTCCCTGTCTCTACTGTCTTCCTTCTCCCAGCTTTCTACTTGTGTCTGAGTAGCTAGCTGAGACTAAAGGTTAGTAAAGCAGGAGACATATGGTAGGCATACCAGTGTGCTGCAGGCTTAGCGTCACACTGTGGGCAGGACTTACTGTTAGGTACGAAAAGTGCTCTCTCCAGTGTTCTCTCATGATGCAAATGTACTTTTCTGCCTATTCTTCATGAATTGTAAATGAGGAAGGCAAAATCAGAAGTAACATTGCTTACGTATGGTTTTGTGTAAAGACCAATAGGCAGTTTTAGAGCTCTAATCACAAATGAACGGTGGAGTTTTCACAGTAGTTCTTTCACAATATCAGTCATTGTCATTCACAAATGTTTTTCTTAGTCAAAAAGAGCTTCAATGTCAGATTAAAATGTATAGTATTACCTGCCTTTTACAATTATCTTTCCACTGCCACATTCATCATCACATATTAATTGTTCTGTGTCACTGTTTGTAGCTTTATTTAAAGAGCGACTGCTGTCGTTTGAGCAGATTGTGATCTTGTGGTGCCAGAGAGGCACTCAAAGCTCTTATTTCAGCTGCTGAGACTGAAAATGGCCACAAGGGTGTTGCCGCTAATGTATTTTAGAAATAGTCTTTTAAAGTTGGGATTTTCATTGTCCAACTTTGATCAGCAGAATGATTTCTTATGGCTCCAGTGTTATTTTCCAAGCCCCACTGAGGAAAACGCTGTTTGCAATTCACTATATGCTTCTCGGGTATGTGTGTATATGATTATAGAGCAGTAAGCCTATGATGGAAACTATAGTGTGTGTGTGTACTGGGTGTGTCCCAGTCTCTCAGGTCTTTCAGGCATCAGGGGAAAATAAAACCAGTGGGCTGGGCACACACACTTTTTGGTATTTTGGAGGTAGGCAAGGCCTACATGTTTGTTTGTGTACATTACACATTCAGCTGCATATTTATTTAACCATCACATGAGGCTGCGAACACACTGCATGACTGATGACTGGCACCTGCCTAAAAGAACTGGCAATTACTCATCTAATAACTATCTGTTGGAATTTCTTACATGTTTTATGCATTTGTATATGTCTTGCCGGATGTCATTTAGTCATCACTTGAGCTTCAATTATGAAATATGAAAACATTAGGTGGGGGGTGTTAACCCTTCAGTGACGACAATATCTAGATTTCTTTTGCTCTGATCTGGAAGTTATTGGTGATGTTGCAGCCAGGTGACCTAAAAGTCATGTGTTAACCCAAAGGATGGTCACACAGATCCATTGATCCTCAGTACATCCATAGAAAGGATTCTGTGCATGGATATTTCAGTCATTAGGGAATAACAATTTCTGGATGGATACATCAGTGCTGTAATGCCCAAATGGACTTTACTAATAGCTTTTACAGCAAACAAACTTCCTGTGCACTCAGCAGGTCTCTCCTCCTCCTCCTTTCCCTCAGCCTCCTTTCACCTCTGCGGAGGGAGACACTGCTGACATTTGCAAGTCCGATGTCTGTGTTATCACGGAAAGGATGATTTAGGCAGATCTGAGACTTGTGGACTTTGCTGATTTGATTAACAAATGCAGAGGATGTCCTTTTAAATGTCAGATTAAGACATCCACTTTGATTTTGAATAGTATCATAGTATTATAATTGTTCCTTACAATATATACAAATACCTGCAGCCAGTGTACATTATTTTTCATACTAGTAAGTTTTGCTATGCATGTTATTAAGAAAATAGAGCACACACTTCTTTGGCTATTTTAGATGAAGAAGAGGATGATGACCTTATTTTTATTTTATTACCATTATTTTATATTATGAGTAATATTATACTCTTACAGATCTGTTTGTTTGTAGTCAGTATGTTCCTCTCTGTATTCAACAAGTTCCATAAAACATTTCTAATATACAAAATATCAACAATTTATTAATCCAAATGCTGTCAGGAACTTTTAAAGGTTTTGTGCGTTTTTTATTTATTTATTCGTGTTTCGCTTATTTGCAAAAGGTCTTCAAATGTTTTCTAATTTAGGGTCTTTGTGCCACTTAACATACAATATAGTTTTAATTTGTCATTACTTTCTTCTCTTTTCATCGTGTGTTGTGTGGAAAAGTAACTTCCACCTACCATATTTAAGTATTTAACAAACAACATGTTTTCCAATAATTCTGCCTTTTTAGAAGAGTAGCTGTGTATTAGACTTACACAAAAGAAATGTTGGTTAACTTTATGACATGTTTAATTCTCACAGTGAAGATTTCTGTAATGAGTGTACAACAGACGCTACCTCAGTCATCTTATGGCATATGTCAAGCAGCGCTGCATTTGGAGCTGTAGACTTAAATGAACCACGGCCCGTTATTAAGGCATTGTTTGAGGTTATTGTCAGGATATTTACCTGCAGCCACCAGGTTCTGTCAGTAACCAGTACAGGCTCTGTGCCCAAGGCCATGATGTGGTAACCTGATAGCAGCGCTACTTGATAGATTGGCCTGTTCAAGAGTGATGACAGCGGTAGCTTCCTGTGTGACTGACACCAGGGCAACAGCCATTACTCACTTTTTCTTGGTTGTTAGTTCTCTCCCACCTGCCCCCTTTCTACCTCCCTTTTCTGTTCAAATGGAGTGGATATCAGACGAGTGCTAAAACTACATGTCACAAGCGCAAACGCTGCCAAGGTACTGTAAAATGCCATTTCTTCTGTATTAGATCTGCTAGCTTGTATCCTCTCTCCTAGTAGATCCTAGGTCCTTATGGAACTAGATTTTCCTTTCTGTTGTGGTTCAAACCTGTTCAATCTAATCTTTAGAGCTAGACCTAGGCCTAGTTAGACATGGTTGTGTTAAAATGGATTTAGGCTGCTCTCCCAGTTCTCCATTGCAGCCTTAACTGGGCCTAGTTGCTAGAACTTCTCCCCTTGTGCTGTGACCCAGAGTTCGGTACTTCTGCTGTTGCTGCTTTTTGAGGATACCTTTTGAATCTGTCTCTCATCTCTTTGCTGGGATAGTGAGTAGACAAACATGGTTCACTCAACTACAGGGGCCACATCCCTTAAACCAGTGGACATGAAATAAATATGCTAGTCCTCAAAAAGCCACCCTTCTTTTACCCCTCTTTATCTTTCCAGCCCTGTCTACCACTTTCTCTCTCATTGCTTTCTTTCTGTCATGCCCTCTGGCAACATGACCATCATTAATGAACTACCATCACCAGCTCTCGCTCTGAGGGCAATGAACAAAGCTCTCTGTTGAGAGCCAAGCACAAGTGATGAACTGAACAGAGGAGCTATTGTGGCCCTTTACTCTATTCCCTTAACATGGTGTGTAGAGTCGCCCTCTTAGAAGTCCATTACTGTCCTACTTCTGAGTGTATTGACCCTTGTTAAAAATGCTGAACAGAGAAGTCTCGGGATCTGTGTCCACATCTCATAATAAATCCAAGCAGCCATTGATTGAAGGCCTAGTGTAGGCCAGAACTGAGACCTATAATTTTCCTGCCTTGATTAAGAATATTACAGTACTGTAAGCAATACACTTTTAGTAACATTACAGTAACATAACTCGTACTCTGTCTTGTCCTTCCCTACAAGAAGTGGGAAAACCCTAGTGAAGGGAATGTGCCGCCACTCTTCACAGTCCCATACCAACATCATAGTACACATGATTCATTTGAGGAGCTCTTCCTTTTCATGTCTTTCACCTCTCCCAGCTCGGTGTCTTTCCCAAACTCACCCAGTTCCTGGTCACATTCTTTACCTCTCATCCCTTTAGGTTTTACCCTCTCCCTCATCCTGTGTCCCTCAGTAATTTGCCGTAGCAGTGTTCGAGAATTCCCTCAGTACACTCTTGAAACTTTCTTGGTTGACTGCCAGCTCCTCTGTACACTTTGATGCCCCTCCTTTCCCTTCCTTTCACAGTGCATTGCCTTTCATTGTAAAACAGGAAGTGTCCCTGTACAACCCCTTAGCATCACTCCATCTTACTAGCTACATTTTCAGTTGTAAATCCCATCAAATATTTTATATTGAAAAAGCCAGCTAAATGGAGATGCTCAACATTGTTTCTATTCTGGTTGGACTCCTGTTTTACAGTGAATTTGGCTACAAATGAAACTCAACAGTCTGAAGTGGCTTCCCCCACCCTTTTATGATAACAATGTGTATGGCAGCTGCCGCCATCCTTTTTTCCTTTGTCCTAGCTTGTCCACAAGGTAGATGAGGAAAGGAAGCCACTTTAAACTGTTAGAGATGAAGCAATACTTCATGGTGAAAGGTTCTCTTCTCAGAAGAGTTGATCGTTTCCCTTCACTGCTGCTGTCATGGAGTGGTTTAGTGATAGTCTGTGTGGTGGTAGAGGTTAAGCATATGTTTGCTTTGCTGTTGAGTGGTTTCATTTGAGGATCTGCAAAGATAAATGGAAACGTGTGACAGAGGTAACTGTATGCAATCTTGTCTCTCACCTCAGGATCCTTGGACATGAGCTTTATTATTTTATCTGGCAAAAAAAAAAAAAACAATGTCCCTTTGTTATCCCAAATTTAACTGGTGCCCTTTACTCCCACACTTCTGTTCCTTGTGAGAAACTCTTTTTCCAAACCCTGCTTGTCCTCCTCCTTATGAGGCAGCCATTCCTTTTCACACTGGTTCACACTCACAGTGAACAGGTCTCAGCTAAGGGGCAATAACTGCTTGGCTTCGCATTACCCTGGGGTCATGGTTGTCCAATGAAGAAATTAGCTACGGAGGCTCAGCTTAACTCCAACATGTGACACACAATCACACATGATGTACAGTATATCTTTTTTATTAATTTACATGGTAAGTGGAAGGAGTGACAGCAAGCCTTTTGGATTTCCTGTCAAATGTCGTGTTTACTCCAGTTTCTTACCAAGGAATGTCTAGTAAATGTCAAAATATTAAAGGATAAATGAGAAGAAAAGATGCACTGACAAGTGTTTCCCTGGTAATTTTTCATCTCCTCTATGAAAGGTACATACCTACAAAAGATATTCAGTAAGTGTAAGGTTCTCCGTGTACTACTTCAGGCACCATAGTAATACAATAATAACATTTATTTTAGCATTTCATTTTGCATTGTTTGTGGGACTATGTTGTTACAAGTTTCAAGCTAGCAAAAAAAGGAATCTGGAACATTTTATTTTTCCAAGTACTTTACTCCGTTCTTAAGGGTTTTAATCCCCAGATTGGTTCAGAGCCGTACAAAGAGCCATGACTGTACACTGAACCTACGCCAAAGTCTTCCACCAATTTCATCCAGATGAACTTGACTGCACAGGACATTTAAAGGACATGCTGCAGAGACATAAATAACTCTCTCAAGTCAACCAGTTTCATTTATCGCTCTCAGCTTCTGGAGCAAATAGTGTCTCCTCTCTAGCCATACCTCTGCTCTTACTTGCTCTAGTCACTGAATTACACTTTGAAGCAACAACCAAAACATTTAACCGAAAGTGATGTGAATTTAGATATCAGCGATATAAAATGTCTTCAATCTGATGATATGGAAGCAGGACAGACAAGCAAGAGCTGAAATATGCAATCGTGGTATGTGGAAGTTTGATGTGTTTTTCTTTCCAACTGCAGATCAATGCTCCAAAGTGCATTTGATTGAGCTGTGTGAATAGATCGATTATAGACTTTTTTGTATTGCATTTAAGATGATCACAACTTGGTGTAATTCTTACAATGTCTTTAACCTCTCTCCCTTTGTACTTACCCTGAAATTTATAATAACTGCATTTGTGTTGGTGAACCTTTTTTTTTCTTCACCCGTTTCCCTGATTTTGTTACCCTTCTCTTTTGCCCCGCTCCCCACACCATCTGCCTTCCTCACTTTCCTCTGTCTACTCATTCATTCACTCACTCCTCTCTCACTGCCCCCCTACAGCCATCCACAGTCTGAAGCTGAGTCGGACCCATGTGGATTGGCACAGCGTGGATGAGGTATACCTCTACAGCGATGCCACCACTTCCAAAATTGCACGCACCGTCACCCAGAAACTGGGCTTCTCCAAAGGTCTGTAATTTACACACTATCATTATCCTTCCATTTAATAAGGTGGACAAACAGTTCCCTGATCATACTGTACATGTGTTAGTATTGAATTCATTTAAAAACCACTGTTAGAATAATTCATGTCTTAAATAATTAGCTCAAACTGTTTTACTCTCACTACTAGCAACTGGATTACTGTACATATCACTACTACAACAAAGAAATATGGATTTTAAAACCAGGATTGGTACAATTTATAATACACTGATGATAGAGTATAAAATTACGTTTTGTATTGAACCACATTTACATTACACTCTCTAATATAAAAAAATATACCTTTTTGCTATACTTTCTATGAAGCTAAACATGCGGCTGTTTAGCAGGTAATTATTACCATGTTCACCATCTTAGTTTTGTGTGTTCGCATGCTAACAGTTGCTAATTAGCAGTACAGCAGAAGCTGATGGGAATGTCTTTAGTTTAGCATAAACCAAAATACTAGAACATTTAGATTTCTGACCTAGTAAACATCATCCTGAGGGCAGCATAAATGTCTTTACCAAATGTCATAACGATCTATCCAATAATTAAAGATATTTAGCTAAAAAGACAAAAAATGTCAACCTCATGGTGACACTAGAGGGTATGTTAAGGGGTCATCAAAGTCATTAGAGTTCTTCCTGTAAGCGCCATGAATGTCTGTACAAAATTTCATAGGAATCCATACAAGTTGTTGAGATATTTCAGGCTGGACTAAAGTGGTGGACCAATCAATAACAGACCAATATTGGGATCTATAGAGCTAACATGGCTAAAACCTTTACTGCCTGTTTCACAAGGTCCACACATGTTCCCACTTTTCCTACATATTATATAGCTGCACTCAACAGTGCATTGCCATTTGCTGTTATTCAACAGTTCTTTAAACAGGCTAGCAAAAGTTCAGTCTCTTAACTGGATTAGCCCAGAAAACCACACAGTGTCCATCTGCTATTCTATGTTTGATCAGGTGACCCAAGTGTAACTGAAAAGGTGGCAACTGCAGTTTGACCCCATGTCCGATTTTTGATCGGCATGGATGACTCTAATCTGATCTACAGTCTCCCAGTTCTGCAGAACATTTTCATCTCCTGCTCGCAGATTAGAAGTGGAGCCGTTGGCACTGGTTATCTCAATCTCCCCATGACACACAGATGCTCAGTGAGGGGAAATCTCCTTAGTGCTATTCAGACAGCAGCAAAGTCCATTGGCTCCTATCACCTTGCCGCACAGCACATGACTGGACTAGACTATAGATTCTAAATTAGGACACACACTCAACCCTCTAGGCACATTACAACAACAGAGTGTCGGGCTACAGCAGGACTTCGTGTCTCACCTACTGGCCTCTTTGGACTCATGACAGCATGTTACTTAAACACCATCACATAGATATTTTTAACATTATAGTAAACAGAGGGGAAATATATATACATTCAGCAATACAGTATAGAATATTTCATTTTAAACAGTACAAAAATCACAAGCAGATAGCTAGCTACAATAAGTAATTGTCCAACCCTGTCTCCTCTCCTTTTCCAGCCTCCAGCAGTGGAACGCGGCTCCATCGGGGTTATGTTGAGGAGGCCTCACCTGAGGACAGACCCCCTCAGACTACACACATTGTCTTTGTGGTCCATGGGATTGGACAGAAGATGGACCAGGGACGCATTATTAAAAACACTGGAATGTGAGTTTTTGAAAGGATGATTTTGATTGAGGATTTGCTTGTATGCATGCTTGTTTTATGTCATTAAGAGCACAGTCTTTCACTTACCTCTACCATTAGCATTTGTAAAGGTGATAAAGCAGGTTAAAATGTATTCACACTAATCAAATCCAGTCTTAATTAAGAAAAATCTCACTGAGAAGATGAGATGATTGAATTGCCATAAAGTTTGTTTGTTCCTTTTGTCTTCTTTTCCTCACACAGTCTGTCTTACACACTTCTCATTCTGTCTTTCTTTTTTTCCTCACTTCTTCCTTCTTTTAACTTTTTACCTCTGTAACAACACAGACACAAAAGCATGATAATATCTTGTTTAAATGTTTAAATGTTTATAAATTGTGCTATTGCATTGTGTGTTCACTGGCCTCCTGACTAAGCTTATATTGCATGTATTGTTCAGTAACTGATGGGGGTTGGTTGTTTCAGATGACGACCCATCTGACAGGTTCTTGAGATTCCAGATAGCTTTTTTGTTCAGCACAAACGCCAAGTATTTATGGCATGCACAACTACAGTCTGTACAGAAAACCTATTAACAGCTGTTTATGCATTTGCAACAATGCACCTGCTGTCTTTGTATTTTGTTCTCTTCCTCTCTTCCCTCCATCATTCTCACTCTCTTTGTCTTCTCCTGCTGTTCACTTACTTTACACTTTGTATTGTTAAAATGCCTTCAGTGCGGAGGCCAAGAAAGCACAGTGCACCCAAACTCTAGAAGACACAAGTAAACAGGGGAGCATATTTGCCTGAATAGCATTTAATGAGGCTCTACGGTACAAGCAAATACAGAAATGGGGCAATACGTATGTAGCACAGCATAAGGGAAATATATGTGGACAACATAAAACACTTCTACATCCTAATATTGTGTAAAAATCTCGATGAATTGTATATATCCAATCAACTGGGACTTGATTATGTTTTGAGCAGCGCAAACAAAACTACATTTCCTCCGATTTTATTGGGGTCCTGCCACAACTTTCAGAGATGGATATCGCACAACTTCCCACTCAATGATCCTTTAACCAGCCTGTCGACTTCTTTTTGTCTTTTTAGGCTTAATGTTACAATGAGGAACATTATTAGTCAACAATATCCATTTGTGTAGCGGCTACAATGGGGAAGTTATAAGAGGAAACCTGATTAAGCAAATTAGCGCAGTGTCCTTGCCTTTTTCAGAGTGATACATTACTCGCTACAGCTGGGCAGCTGATCAGTGTTTAGGCTGTCGATCAGTTTTGAATAGTTACTAAAGCTAGGCACAGCCCTTGTGTCTCTGTGTGTCATGGTCTGTGTAAAGACATATCTGACGCAAAATGGCACCACTGTTCTGGCCCTGGATCATGAGCATTACGGGCAATAGTACAGAACATGCAGACCAGAGCCATGTGTGCCTCTGTGTCACAAAGTTATCGTCTGGCCACTGCTCGCGGCTTAGGCCAGCTAAGCAGGTAAAGTAGACCAAGTCAAGCTGCAGAGCACTTTAAGCCTCACTACCAGCTCCTTGTGGATTACAGCGTAGACGCTTTCATCAACCAAGAGCAAAGATCACCCTGACATGTCTAGCCAGCTCCTTGTTTTGTTTTTTGTATAGGACCTAAATTAGATTCAGATGCGTGCCTTCCTGGGTGTCACCAGCAGCAGTGAAAAAGGAAATTGTGGGGGCGTTTAGGACTTTATTATTATGCTCTAAAACAAACTTTTTAAAGCCTATTTTTGCTAAACTTACTATGTCAAAGCTCACTGCCCAATTGATGCCAACCTAAAAGCTAGGGAATTCGTGTGGGTGCAGCACAGAAAGCCCCGTAATGCAGCGCTCAACCGTGCGAGCATTTGAGTTTCCCTGCAGAAACACTAGCCTGCAGATAGTCCCGTCAAAACCTGCATTAGGTGCCCCATTCCCAGACCAGTCACCTAAAAGCCTCTCTCAGCCTCCACTTATCCATGTCAACACTCTACCTCACCGTCACTCTCTTTGTGTATTTAGTGTTTCCTGCGAGCTAATGCTGCCCCATATAGGCCTATTAGCACTGCAGCCATTGTGTGTGTGTGTGTGTGTGTGTGCTGTGTGAGGGAAGCTGCTGCATCAGTGAGCAGCAAAATGGGCGTCATTCTTCTCTTCCCAACAGTCATTAAAGACTGTGAGAGAAAGTGTGCAAACACAGACTCCCTAGTCAGTCTGTAGCAGGGCCAGCTAAACGTAGAGGACGTTACTCATCCACTCAGTACCTGTCATTATAATGCACTGCTGCCCCGACAATGCGATGATGACATTGTTTCTAAATCGAGCACTGTCACAGCATTGTTATCGATGAATGTTTTAGCGTATCGGTCAACATATAACCAAATACACTCTGAAGTCACAAAGTGCGCAGTGTTCCCCTCGTACTATATGTGCTTTATTGTGTCAATTCAGGCTGAGGGAGGGTGTGAGGAAGATGGAAGAGAAGCACTTTTCAGAGCACAATGATGAGCATGTGGAGTTCCTGCCTGTCGAGTGGCGCTCCAAACTTACACTGGATGGAGGTTAGTGTGTATTTGAGACTGTACATGCGCATGCATGTGTTTAAGTTTGTCTATCATTGCCTCTGTTCATGGTGGACATGTCTAAGTTGGTCTCATATGTCAGTCTTTCCATCCTATTGGGAAAAAAAGCATAGCCAGAGTCATCCCTTATAGATAAACAGGTAGCTAACCATGACCTTATGACTGTCCTAACCATGGTCACTGTGATGTGTGATGTACAGTAGGTTAAGATGTAAAATGAACTGAACAGGTATCGAGGAGGGTGGTGAGATCAGAGGTCATGGGCTCTCCAGCTTAATAAAGAAGATTTTAAAGGTGTACCTCATATAGTGGCCACTGAGTGTATGAATACAGGCACCATTGTGTGTCATAAATCTCTTTTTTATACCGCGAAATCGGTGATTTGATTCCGTAGATACGGTAGACTCAATAACACCGGACAAAGTGAGAGGACTGAGAGATCTACTCAACAGCAGTGCCATGGACATCATGTACTACAACAGCCCCCTTTACAGGGATGAGGTGAGAGTCACACACTTCCAGAAACCAGAAAAGAGTTCTCTGTACACTATTTCTCCTTATAACCTCTCCACTCCCTGTTTCTCCAGATTACCAAGGGCCTAACACAGGAGCTAAACAGACTGTACACACTGTTCTGCTCGCGCAACCCCGAGTTTGAGGAGAGGGGAGGCAAAGTGTCCATTGTGTCTCACTCCCTCGGCTGTGTCATCACCTATGACATCATGACAGGATGGGATCCTGTGCGCTTCTGTCTGCAGGAGCATCACGCTGTGGAGGAGGAGCTGGACCTGCGCTGGATGTCCTACGAAGAGAGGCACCTTTTAGAGCAGCTACGGACCACAAGGACGAGGTAGACTTTGCTAATGTAGATTTTCACTGACTCCTAGCTTGGCCTTGGGGACGCCATGTATAGCTGTAAGGATCCCCAAGAGATTTTTGGGTAGTAGTGAGTTTGCTCAGCAACAGAATACTGGTATATGCTATACCAGATACTGAGGTGACTGGAGGTTAAATTTGGACTTCGACAATTTTCTCTCAATATGAACAAACAGATACAAGGTATTCATCTCATGCTCCATTTTCAGGAGGCAAGTGGTGTTTCCTGTTTTGCGGGCAGCAGGGCATTGTGATGCCTCATGAACAAATGGAAAGGAAGAGGCCCTGTGTGTGCAATATAATTTAGTGTGCGCACCATTAGCTTAGATCAACAAACTTGTTTTCCAGCAGCTTCTTGTTTGATGACTGGCTTAAGGACAGATCTATTGATGAAGGCAGAATCAGTATGTTTGTCTAGGTAGCTTGAGGTTACAGTAGTGCTTTAAAGTGTTCTTTTCCTTTTTTCGTTAATAAACATTGTGTCTCTTTGTGCTTCTAACAGGTTACGAGAGCTGGAAAATCAACTCCTCACACTGGAAGAATCTAAACCCTCAGCACCCCCAGCCCTCAAATTTAAGGTAAGATGCTCCATTATGTGAAGGTACCATACATGGGTGTACCATTACAATTTGACATTAATCAGTAAATATTAGTGTTTTTAGCAGTTTTATTGCAGAATATTTCTTAAAAAGACCAAACAATTTAAGTTAGCGCAACACGAAATGCCATGATATAACCGAGATGATTATACCCTTGGCCTCTGTAGCATTGCTGTTCACAGCATTGCACCAATGCTATCTGTGTCAATAGACTCCTTTTTAGGACATTTATATCACCTTTGCACCTTTTATCTCTCAGGTGGAAAACTTCTTCTGCATGGGTTCTCCTCTGGCGGTCTTTTTGGCCCTGAGGGGGATCCGTCCTGGTACCAGCTGCCACCAGGACCACATCCTGCCCACCGCCATCTGCAGCAGGCTCTTCAATGTCTTCCACCCCACAGACCCTGTGGTTAGTCTCCCTTGATTTACCCCAGCCTGTTACAGATGCTCTCCCTCACTCAGGGTTCACAGCAAGTCGAGATTTTCTTTTTGTCTTTTATTTTTCTTAATTCGTGTCGACTTGGCCCACACACATTAAGGGTGTGATTTATGAGTAGGAATTTGCTGTTTTCACTGGACTGGATTAGCTTTGCAAATAGAAACTAGACCGTTTCAACTCACTCAGTCAGATTTTTTAATTAAAAATGTGCACTGTACATATTTAACTTGAAATAGTTAAGTGATTTGTAGTACAGCTTCGGTAAAGATTGATGGGTAAATAATTTTATAAGGTGTGCGGTTTAGACTTGTTCTATATGCAAATTGTCCTGAGATAACTTTTTATGATTTGCCTCTATAATTAAATTAACGGACATTTTATGACTCTGTTCAGGCCTACAGACTGGAGCCCCTCGTCCTCAAACATTACAGCAATATTGCACCTGTTCAGATACACTGGTAAGAATCTTACATCTTATAACACTTTATCCCTTGTACACAGAATGTTTTCAGAGTATGTACAGTATGTTCTGAATGTTTGTGTTATCTTCTCCGTCAGGTGTAGCGCCACTAACCCCACATCCTACGAAGAGGTTCGGCCTACCTTCCTGAACCCAGTCAAAGACCCAACATCTGACACTGAGAGCATCCCCAGCCCGAGCACTTCTCCCGTCCTTGCACGCAGGAACTATGGAGAGTCCATCACCAATCTGGGCAAAGCCAGTATACTGGGTAAGACTACCATCACTTTTCCAATTCTGGTCTAAACTTAGCTCTAACGGTTTACATGACTGAAATGTGTTTACAGTACGTGACAGTTCAGACTCTAGAAGAGTTTCTGTATATGATTGTTTTGATGATTACTATATACCAGTCCAGAAGAGTTGTAAAATTGTTGAATAAAACCAAAATAGTTAGAATATTTAACTACTTACAAATGTGGCAGATAGGCTACTATAGTGAAAAGCATCTGGGGGGGAGAATAAAGGAGTAAATATTCTCTTTTTAATACATGCAATCTGTCTACATTTGCTTTTAAAACTGCCATAGTGAAATATTATGAGGTCTGACAGCACCCAGAGAAAGAGCTGAGTGCATTAAATTTCACTCTGGAGATAGTTCTTATTCCATAGGTGAAATTCTTTCTCTCTTGAGATTTAATATTTGAAGTAATGTGAGATGCTTTGAAAACAGCACTATTTCAACAGTGCCATCATGTGGACAGATGGAGAACAAGCTTATACACTTTGCTTCCCCTATAGTTTGAAATTAATTAAATTAAAGAATTTTAAAAAATGAAAGAAAAGCATTACTACAATTCTTTTTTTCTTGTTCTGAACTGCATCCCACCCAGCATTATCTCTTTTTCCTCCTTCTCTCTCTCTCTCTCTCTTCCCCCCTTCCACACTCAATGTAGGAGCGGCGAGCATAGGGAAGGGCATTGGAGGCATATTCTTCTCACGTTTCTCCCGCTCCAACAGCCAGCCCTCGGTGTCTTTAGGGCTTGAGGGAGGGACAAACACTGAGGAAGAGGAGCAGAAGCGGACAGAAAGCCAGTCAGCATACGGACTCTCCACCATGATACGACCCACCTCGCCCACTACTGACACATCATGTTAGTTCATTTAACCAACAATCATTGAGAAAGTCTCACATGTGCTGGTGTGCTGGAGGGTATTATAATGTCTCTGTTTCTGTCTTACAGTGGAGTTGGAGCGGCGCATCGACTTTGAGCTCCGAGAGGGTCTGGTGGAGAGTCGCTACTGGTCAGCGGTGACCTCACATACAGGTTACTGGTGCTCACATGACATAGCACTCTTCCTGTTGACCTTCATATACAAGCAGAGGACAACCTCCTCTGACCCGGCAGAAGATACTCCGGAGCCAGACTGAGGCAGCACATTTGTTACAACACAAACACACTTGAAATGGTGTCTTACAACCTTGAAGGGTTGTGTCATCTTCTTGACAAGACACAAAAATAAACAATAAACATTCATTTATAGTTCATGCACACAAACTGCTCACATACACTAACCCTAATCATCTCCTGTAGCTCCCTGTGATCCAGCTCTTTTAACAATTGGGAGTCATTACTGACAAACTGACTTAATTCCAAGATGTGCATTTTTGTCTCTTTTTGTGTAGTTTGTACACAGTTGTGCACCCTAAGGGTGACAGTGTTGGACTATGAACCCCTAAGGAGGTGCACCGTTTGCCAGTATGACCACAACCTACATATAAACATGGAATATGAGATTAATGAGTTTGATGTCTAGGAGTCTGTTACACCCAGAAGAAGAGAGTTCTAACTTCATCCACAGGTCTTCAACCTTAAACAGATGCAGCCAGTTGATAAAGTGTCCATACTTTACCTGTTAATCAATGCTTAAATCCAGCCTCTCTCCCACAGACTCACTCTGAAGCCTTTTGACATTGTGCTTGATCCTCGGTCACCGTGGCTTGAAGCTCTGTGTCTGTGCTTTTTAACTTCTTTTTCTTTTTTACATGGAGGAGAGAGAAATATAATTGTCAACAAATAGCAGTTTTATCTTTGAATTAAACCTTTAGCTACTACATCTTAAAAAAAACTTAATGCTAACAAGCAAAAGCAATGCCTTTCAAAATTAGCCAAATAATATTCCTCATACAGAATATTTCTGTTCGGTTTTTCTTGAAAACCTAGGGCATTATCCCTTTAATAATGTTTTGAAAGTACAAAGAAAGACATAGCAAACATGCTATTTTCAGTTTGTTTTTCTTCCGCTGTTATTTATTTATTTTTTAACATTGTTTTACTCTTGAAATAGATGGATAGATGTACCAAATAAAACATGAGAAAAGCTTCACTTTTATATGCTACACAGTCAACTAAAACAGAATTTCCTTTTGTGTTTAGTTTTTTGCAAAAACTGTTATTGTTAAAGTACCAGAGACAAAATGTCTCTTACTAATACAACTTCTACAGCTGAACATCAACACATTTACATAAAGAGGTTTACAACCACAAGAAGCTTGCATCATGACATGCATATCTTTGCTCTTAAGCAAGGGCCGGACATGTACAGTTATTTTCTTACACCCAGTTTATGTCTAAAAATCTCTTGATGATGTCATTTATAAGACAAGAGGTCATTCAAACTAATTTCCATGCTTCTATATTAAAGATATGTTATGGAGAGAATTTTCTGTGTTATATCTTTATATTGATATCCAAATTAAATCAGTGGTACTAGATGTATTTTTTCTTAAATAAAAAAAAAAAGAAATATTTTTCCTAGCAATTTTCAGGCTCTGGATAGAAAACCTGGTTCCCATGATGGGGAAAATGGGATTGAATTTGCGGCCAAATAACATTTATGTGTCTAGTTTATCAGCTGCTCGGCATTAGTAATGACCTAGGGTTAAAGTAGCTTATTTTTTATTTAGAGACTTTTGTGATACATTGCACGCAAAAGTAAATTGTATCTCTTTTGCCTTTCTTTGTGACCAATTCACACTATCCCCTTTTTGAGCAATGGATACATCAGCTTGTCTTTTTATTTATGTGGAAAAAAGGGTTTCTTTAGTCTTAAAAATTTTCCAGCAACTAAACATGTATCGTTGCCTAACTGACACTACTTGCAAATCTACTCCCAAAAAGAAAAAAAATGTCAACAACTGAAGGCAGCAAATCATAATTTTGGTCCTTTTTTGTTGTTGTTTTTTTGCTGCTTATCATGACTCTTGCCTTGGTTTGTCAGAGCAGTTCTAAGAAAAGCTACCCCAGTAATGATGGATCCTATGCCTGTCAAATCAGAGCCTAAAAAAAACACCCAGTAACAATTATGGAGAAGTTAGAAAACATACTCCCTTTGCATGGTGTCATACTGATAGTTATTGGGTGTTGGAACAAGAAGACATTGCAGAGTGCCAACACACATCTAAGAAACTGCTTTGTGTTCTTTATTGAGTAGAAAGCCACTCATGATTGTTTATGGATTTCTAATAAAATCATTTGCAATGGATGAAGAAATGGAATTACCCTCAAATTTATGTTTATGGGGTTAGTTACATGTGACAGACTTGATTATTGTCAGTGTCAAATTGTCTTTGTGTTCTATTTGTAACTTCATAGTTATCAAGGAGAATATTTTAATTTGCTGTGGCGCAAGCTGCTGCTTTCAGAGTTCCACACAATCAAGGGCTGTTGTTGACTGGTCCACCACTGAATGGAATCCATTTACTGTTTTTTTTTATGTCTGTGTTATACATGCAAAGGCCTACTGACTGGAACCAGGCTGCCTGTCGGATGACTACCTGGAAGTAGTATGGAAGCAGGGACAAATATGGGAGAGTGATGTGAAAGTGTTTCTATGTCTGATCTGGTGGATCTTGCCCATTTTTCCAGCTATGAATTGCACAGAAATGATGTAGAAAGCAGCCCACTGTTGATTATATATATTAATTTTGCTGAGCATGTTGTACATTGCAGCAATAGATACAGAAAGCAGTTTTAACATGCTACTTGGATGGCAGGCATGCAATTTATCTTGGAGACCTTAGACGTGTAATGCAAAATACAAGGATGTTGTCCATTGTTGCTGTCACTGTGTGTGGGTGTAGACACAGCAAACATGTAGAAGTGTGGACAGACCATCACAGCAAAAACAACAATGTTCCTGCCAGTGTTTGTGATTTGGCCGTGTTTCCAAAATGTATGTGAAATTTTGATATTTTCCATTCTAGCAACTCTTGATTCAAGCACAGATTTTCAACTGTAGCCACTCTGCTTGCTAAAAAAAAGAAAACTTTGTCAAGATATATTGTACTTTTGAGTATATGACCATTTAATGCACAGCATTTTGAATGATGACAGTATATTTTTCTTGTTAAAGGCACCATAAGCATCAGGGAAATGTCTGCTGTTACATGTTTTGTAGATTCAACACTGTCGTTGACTCCAGTTTGAAGCCATTATTAAGTAAAAGAGTTAAAAAGCTGTCACAGATCTGTTGTCAGTCTTTAACATATTCCGAGGTTAATAAGAAAGGGCCTGCAGCCATATGTAATCAGTCACTGGGTGAGAAAGAGAAATAAGAGTTGAAATTTATCATGGGTGTATTGAATGAAATGTGTTCAATTTGTGTCTGGCACCACTGTCGCTCTAACTTTGAATGGAAGTGCGGAAAAGTGTTTTTGTCTGTCCTTAGAGCTGTGCAATAACCCATGCCTGTAATGGATTCTAACTGCCATCCAAAGCACTGTATTTATTTGATTTTATTAAAGCATTTCTTTTTGGATACAATGTCTACTTCTTCTTAATCCAGCATGGAAAAAATATTAAATTTGGGAATCTGTTTGTGGTGTCGCGTAGGAGGAGGAGGTTGACATTTCCAGAAGAAGATGGTCTCGTTGCTCATTTCCTGACTGATTTCAGAGGACAATAGAGCTATTTGTTCGTCTGACGCTCGAATCAGATTCTTTCCAAGGCACCCCCTGATGTGAATAACAAAGCTGACTTATAGATCGTGAATGGGCGGCATTGTGATCCACTAGCAGTCGTGGCTTCCACATGAGTTACTAGTGCTTTAATGCAGTTAAGCAACATCTGCAGAGGCAAGGCTCACAGATGGGAGCAGTTAGAACAGAGGTGATGCTCATAAATAATGCATTTTGCCCTGCTGTTCTGCATTTGGCCAGAAGAGGTCAGTCATCTATAGGTAATACTGGAACAAAGACCTCTATTGACCATCTGTTGTCTTGTGCCCTTTCTCCTTTCCTGTTTCCATTTATTGCCCTTAACTAATTGAGCTATTTTGACAGTTAATGCTCTTATTCATAATTGTGTGACTTTATTAATTATGTTTTTAGGTTTGTAAGATATGTTAAATTGGCATAAAACATAAAAACCTTTACCTTTACCACTCAAATATCACACCAAATGCTGAAAAACGTATATCATTTTTGTTAAAGGTGATTCGTGCAGACAGTGTAAACCTCTTGAAGCTGTCCCCCTCACACCCTCCACCTTTCTGCCTCCTACTTTCTCCCCTTCATCTCATCGTCCACATCCACAGCCAAGCCAAGCTCCCTATCTGATTCTCCTGCTCTGCATCTGACTGACTCAAATGTTTACTCTGCAATTAAAACACAGCCTATAAAAGGCAACGGATCGGGTGCCAGATGCCGACAAGGGGGTCAGAGCTACAGGGAGAGTTTATAAATCGCTTTGATGCCGACTGTAGTCTGAAGGCCCAGATTCCTGAGCTGGAGGATTGGAGCTGAGTGAGTTCATGGGGGCCCGAGCCAGAAACACGGATGATTCATGGGTCTTTACTGCAGACCACTTGGAGAGTGTCTGTTGGGGTGTGTATTGTGCTTTGGAAAAGACAGGAGACAGCAACCTTTCTCTGCCCCCCGAACTTGTCAATGTGTGATCATTTGATTGAATGTACGTATGAAATGTTATTACTCATCTGCAGCAGTGAAGACGTGAGCAACAACCTGCAGACAATGATATCCTCCGAAAAAAGAAAGATATGATCTGCACACACTGATGACAAGCTATTGCATTCTTTTATAGTGATTCCATGCATGCTGTCATAACACATACTGATGACAACGTCCCATTGCAGTTTTGAATTTGGTGCACAGGGAAAATAAAGACATTAAACAAGGGATGAAGATCTGCACAAGATCATTTTCTCATAGTTACAGGGCTGTATTGGGAGACGACTGCAGACAGTTTTAGATGTCTAAGTATAAGTGTATTAGCAAATGAACGTAAACTGTTATTGAATTTCTGTAATTCATTGAGTTCCTGATAATGACTCACTGTGTGTGAGAGATAAATATAGTGTGTACATGAAGGAGAAAATGTGAAATTAGGTGAAATAACTTCTAAATTAGGTGAAATAACTTATATATAGCATATATTTATTGCAATTTGGAAACACTGGTACTTTACCTTCCATATGTATTTAACGAAGTGTTTTTTTTAGAATATATGTCAGAGGTCAATGCTGCACTTTTTATTACTTGTCTGCAGCTCTGTGTATTTGTTACGCTCCAGAATAAGATTTTATATTAGCTAGAATAATGATAGATAGATAGATAGATAGATAGATAGATAGATAGATAGATAGATAGATAGATAGATAGATAGATAGATAGATAGATAGATAGATAGATAGATAGATAGATAGATACTTTATTTATCCCGAGGGAATTCAAGCATCCAGTAGCAGCATACACTCGATACATACATACATTAGACATACATTAAACATACATTAAATATATAATGTATATCTTTACTTTTAAACCCCAAAGAGTATGTGAAGAAGTACATACCTCTGCCTGGAACAGCTGCAACATCACCATAAAAATGCACCTTGGATATATGTGATGTGTCAGGAATGAAAGTAGATATCTGTGTACCTTGGCTAATTTCTACACTTCATAGTCTTCCACTAGGGCTTTTTTAGTCTGAACGAATGAGTCTACACTGAAAGCAAAAATGCAGATACTCTTTAAGGGACATATTAAAACTGTAAAAGTCACAAAAAACAAAATGTCTTGTTATTCTTTGCTCTTACTCCCGGGGCTAAAGACCCAAAGATCCCTGGATGCTGCTGCAGGGCTGAGCAGCACTATTGCCATAAAAGGCAGCTTGAGATCTTAACTGCATGTCCATTATGCTCACCACAAACTGTTGAATTTGTACTCTGGGGTGTTGCAGTTTGACAAAATCTGCATAAAACACATATAAAAATGCAAGCCCTTGCTTATTCTGATAACATACTGTATTTTTGAGATTTAATCGTATCTTATATTGTATTATATTTTACAAAGCAAGTGGTATGAACACTAAAATCGCAGGAATACCTGATTGTTTTTGTTTTTTGTTCTAAGTCGACTACATAAGTGGAAGGTTTTATCTTTTACCTTATCTAATATTGTAGTTTGCATTACTTGTCTGCACCTGTATTTAGTAGTTAAGCACTAGAATAAGATTTAATATTAAATCAAATGATGAAATATTAAGAAGTAATATACAAAAAAGAATAAAGAAAAGAACAATCACAAGAACAACTTGTTTTTCTTGTATTTAGTGAATTACATAAGTGGACAATGTGTCCCATTATTCTTGACAGTTTTAAAAACGTGTTAAAGCTGAACACCAGACCAAATTATCTGGTCGAATAATGGCAAGAAGCATTGTATTTGTACAAAGTGGCCCCTTATGATGAACATAAAAGGTCAAAAAAGGGAGAATTAACCCACGATTGACTCCCACAGGTCCTGAGTGTGTGTAAGTGTCTGTGTGTGTGGGGGGACCAGTAGGCGACCAGAAAAGCTCCCAGTATGAAAGGAAAAGTGGGATTGGAGCAGTGACGTTATCCGCTGCTGGAAAGAGGGAGGGAGAAAGAGGGACGGCTGGACTCCATTAAGCCGAAGCCTGCAGGAAAACTGTTTGGGATACTTCACTTCTTCAGCGAGTTCTCCGGGGGATTTCTTTCTGTTTTTTATTGCCTCAAAAAAGACTTTATACATGATTTAAAGAGGGGGGACCTGTTCTGTACCGTGTAGTCGACTCTTTTAGTGTGTTTTCGTCTTTGTGAAAGGTGAGTTAAATGTTTCGTCCTCAGAGCTTTGCCCTGTTCGCCGCTATGAAATATGAAAACGTTTTTTTTTCTTCTTTTTTTGTTGTTGTCGTCGTACCGCGTCTGCCACATTTAACCCACCGCTTCAATTAACATGTCTTTTTAGCTCATTTGAGCTAGTTTGTTTGCTTTTTTATAGACACACTTTTCTACCGAACTTACTCCTTTTTAACGACCGACATGGGCGAGTGTGCATGCAGCCGGGGAAGCTGTTCTACGGACTCCGCTTACATAATTAAACCCCTCCGCCTATTTGTAAGAGTGGCCTTTACCGTTATTTTTAACAGGTGAACCGGCACATATTGCGAAGGTAAAATAGGTGCCTTGTTGAACTTGTAGCCACGGGCCTGTAAGTCTTTGTTTGGCCGTGTTCATTGATTAAAGGGCTGTTTTGATAGCCAGGCCACTCTCTTGCTGGACAACTTGACATCAAAGAATGACAGATACAGGCTATAATGTAACTTTTTGGCAACGACTTCACACGACAAAGGCGCGCCTTAGTTCCCGGCGAGGAGCCCCGAGGAGAGACACAGAGATGAGCAAACAGATTTTGTTTCGCCTCCATCCCTTTCTAAATAATCCCTGATAGTCATATGTTCGGTAACGAGCTAAAATTGCCTCATCTGTTACCACTAGTTTGGTCATAACAGTGTGCCATTGCTGGAAGAATGAATGCTATAGTAGAAGTTGAAATACCAGAATGAAAACTCCCATTATAGGCATAATGCAGTCAGGATTGTACTGAATCAGCAGCAAGTATATTTAAAATAACCTATTGTGTGTGTGTGTGTATTTATAAGTATCAAAGTACTCTCAATGAAGGATGAACCCTGTTAGGAAGGTATATGCTCTATCACAGTATATGTAATTTATATCATCATATGGATACATACCTTTATAACAATGCAAAAATGTACTAAATCTACAGTAGGGTCTGTTATTTTGTTTTGTACTGATAAATGTTCAAACCTCCAGTGTCTAACACAAGCTTCCTAATCTAAATCTGTGTTCCCAGTCCAAGCTGGCACACATTACCCCTATGACATCACAATGACACCATCAGGGTTACTTTTTCCGACATTGGAAAGCTCTTCCAGAGCAACAAAAGATATTATGCAACTGTTGTTTTAGGCTGAGTAGCACCAATCATGACTAAACAGCTGACTTTGATGTGTGATAAGGACTGCTACCACGGTATAGCATAATTATATTGCAAAATATATTGATGCTTTTATGTGTAAACACCAATCTTAATCTGAAAGGTAACCAGCAACTACAGCTACAGTGAATGCAATTGAATATGTATGCATAGTTTCCCTGTTATAGAAGCATATACTTAGGAATCAAAGTACTCAAGTGAAGTAGTAGTGGTCAAGAACAGTACTCACGTAAATCCACTAAAATTAAAAAACAGTACAGTTCTTTATCAAGACCTTGCATTCATGGGCTGTGCACCACATTTGACACAAGTTTACCTTTTCCCCACCTGACTGTGGCTCTGCTTGGCAGGATGGCGCTGGACGGGATCCGGATGCCCGATGGCTGCTACGCCGACGGGACGTGGGAACTGAAGATGCATGTCACCGACCTCCACAGGGACGTGTCGCTGAGGGTCACTGGGGAAATCCACATCGGCGGA